AAAACTACCTCTTCTGCCCTCTTTATGTAGTCGGATCCCCACTTCCGGTCTATGCTAATTATTCCTAACATAGAAGTTATCACAAAAACTTAAATTTAATGTCGAAAATAGGTAATTTTGTTAAATCTCATATGCGTGCAGTCATCTATAGGCCACTACGCGCCTAATGACGTATCATACATACCTTAAAATTCATCCCTTATCGAGATATCCTCCGGACAGCCAAACGGAGGCTGGATGCAAGTAGCACCACACAGAGACACACACACAGACAATATTTTTCCCCTCATAGTAGGATTAGCATGGCGGAAGTGGGGATTCGACTACATAAGGGGCAGGAGAGGTAGTTTTTCATCTCTTGTTTCATTAGAATTTGCGGTTGAAAACCCATGCAAAGTAAATCTTAAAATAGGGTCAGATGGGGCCAGATTAAAAAGTCGCGAAGCGGCTTTTGAACCCTGGTCTATCACTAAAAACACTGTTAAAACACGGTCTGGTAAGGTACTAGGCATTTCTAAACTTACAGAAAAAATTCGATCCCCCCCGGATAATACGAAAGAACCCCCGCAAATTGTGGCAGAACAAATTGCTGTACCGTTCGTCTAGGTGTTCATCGTCCGTGGCAACCACGAAGAGGACCAAATTTGCCACGATTTTCAAGAACATATGGTTGCACGCGGGTACCGTGCGGACATCCACCCAACACAAGACGTGACCGGTGAAGAGCCCCAGCAAAAACCGCGAAAAATGGACGCAATCGACGCGCTTCTCAGTTTCTTCGAAGAGCTTCCGGTTATTGGGCTAATTGACGACCGGATTATCTGCATGCACGGCATGATCGGTGGGTTTTTAACAGCAAACCATGCCGGTTCAGCGCAATCACTTCCGGGCGCGGTTCTGGACTCGTATCGGGGGATTTTGAGCTGGGGAAAACCACTTTTTGCTTTCCAGCTATACTTTCTGTTGATCATCCTACTATATATAAAAAATGGTGTCTGGGTGTGTAGACACTTTGCATAAAAACCCGGGTTCCCGCCATAACTCGAAGGCAAAAGGATTTTATGATCCAGAAGTGAGATAGTAAGGGGTATTCGAGGGCGTAGATTACTACGCGCTTATCGGTTTTCACTAAAATTATGTTTATACCTTATTTTAGCGATTTAAAAACATATGGAAATAGACTAATTTGCATACGGATATTAATTCGGCTCATTCTGGGCCTTGCGGTTCCGAGTCGGTTGCTCAAGTAATTCCTACGAGGGTTGAAAAGCCGCTTCGCGCCTTTTCACCCCTGGGCCCCGTCTAGACCCTATGGCAGTCTTAACTTTGCATATTCTGCCCGGGTCCCGTTGAAAAAAATGAAAAATCTCCTCTAAACCTTCATTTTATGGACCATATCCACTTCCGGCGTATGCAAATTATGCCTACCAAAGGCATTTTCATAAAAACTAAAATTTAACGTCGAAAATAGCAAATTAAAAAACTTTACTACGTCGGCAGTCATCTGTAGTCTGTTACGCGCCTAATGACATATCAAACACCAGATGGTTACAGTCGCTTCGCGACTGCAACCATCTGGTCTTCGGGCTACCCTACATGTCCCACTCCACCACATCCATTCCCACCTCCATGAATACCCCCGATAGCCGAAATCCCCTTCAAAAACTACCTTAGATACCTTCCCGATGGCTTAAGATACCTCCCTAGCCGAAATCCCCTTCAAGGACTACGCCTAATTACGCTTCCCGATGGCTTAAGATGCCTCCTAGCCGAAAATCCCTTCAAAAACTACTAAATACCTTCCCGATTGCTTAAGATACCTCCCTAGCCGAGTCCTTTCAAAAACTACCTAAATTTTTTACCCGATGGCTTAAGATACCCTCCTTAAGTTCGAAATCCCCTTCAAAAACCACCTAAAAACTTTCCCGATGGCTTTAGACACTTTAAATAATCTAAATAATTAATTAACATAATTAAAAAGTATTAAAAAGTATTAAAGTAACTTAAGAAAGTGATCTGGGCGCGCGAAGGGGCCTGGGGAAGAGGGGCGAAGGGAAAGGGGGCGTCGCCTCCCGGGAGAGGGGCCCCCACTCGTTTTATTAAGGCGCCACTTTCAAAGTTAATTTTAATAATTTAAAATAAAACTTTTTCATAATTTTTTTATCAGTTTGGGGGTTTCTGACCACGCTCTATCCGAATCCGAAGAGACCTAAGCTCTAGCTCTTTTCCCCTTCGAGTTGAATTCGGCTTCAGACGGACGGACGGACAGAGACCACAGCAAAATTATTATACAGTGCGTATCAAAAAGATAGAGCCACTTGGTTTTTCACCTTTAACTTTGCGCGGTGGTATTTTCTAGCGAAGCTAAGCATACACATCTTGTAGCCCTTGAAAAGGCGCATCTTTCCGTGTAGTCAAAATTTTTCTGTGATCGATATTAAGCTTTTTATGACGAAAACAAGCAAATAGAGCCAAAAACACAAGTATCAAAAAGATAGAGCCACAATTTGCATTCACTTTACATGCGCTTTGAGCTTGCAAATCACATGGTAATTGTCATGCAAATCGTTCGCTTCATCCAAATTAACGCAGGCCGCAGAAAAATTTTATCGCTCTAACCATTTCTAAGCGCGCAAATGAAGCGAACACTTGACAAAAAATTAGCCTTTTTATTGCTACTATTCAATCAGATTTTCCTGCTGCCTGCGTTAATTTAGATGAAGCGAACGATTTGCATGACAATTACCATATGATTTGCAAGCTCAAAGCGCATGTAAAGTGGATGCAAATTGTGGCTCTATCTTTTTGATACTTGTGTTTTTGGCTCTATTTGCTTGTTTTCGTCATAAAAAGCTTAATATCGATCACAGAAAAATTTCGACTACACGGAAAGATGCGCCTTTTCAAGGGCTACAAGATGTGTATGCTTAGCTTCGCTAGAAAATACCACCGCGCGAAGTTGAAGGCGGAAAACCAAGTGGCTCTATCTTTTTGATACGCACTGTAGTTGATACCCTAAAGTTCCTTCCCTGACCCGTTATGAGCGGAACATACATCCGGAAGTGGATGCAAATCTACACAGACACACACACACTATTTTTTTATATATAGTAGGATGGTGTGCCTATCCCTCACGTAATTCATAATATTATGCAAATTGTCTATAATGTATTTTTCTTTGTTTTGATTGCTGGAAAGTTATAAAAAAATACGTTAAATTGGTTGAACTGGTTTGGCCATTTTCCATCCATTTCTGAAATTTCGATAATTTGTCATTTCGTTTTTATAATTAGAAACTATGGAAAATGCTATAACCTGGCTGTTATTCGGCAGAATACCCTGGAACAATGTTTCTTAGCCCTAAAGTTTAAATTTATCAATCAATATTGATAAAAATTTATCCTACTATATATAAAAAAAAAAGTGTTTGTGTGTGTGTGTGTGTGTGCCACTTTGCATGCAACTTCCGTCAGGGTGTCCGGAGGTTATCTCGATAACGGAGATGTTTTAAGGTATGTTTGATACGTCATTAGGTGCGTAATGGTCTGGAGATGACTGCACACATATAAGATTTTACAAAATCACCTATTTTCGACGTTAAATTTGAATTGTTGTGAAATTTTCGGGAACCCTCTTTGTTAGGAAACAATTAGCATCCGCCGGAAGTTGCGGTAGCCTATATGAAGGAACCGAGAGCGAGTTTTTCATTATTTTCCGTGCAATTTGGGAGGATTATGAAAATGTTATAATCATGGGATTGGACGGGGCCAGGGTTGAAAAGTCGCGAAGCGGCCTTTCAACCCTGGTAAAGGACTAAATAATCATAAATAGATTAAAAATGTCAAAAATATCGATTTCTTGGCCAAAAATAGCCGATTTTTATCAAAATTCAACGAAAAGAATCAAATTCCAGCGCCCGACCTGACGCGAGACGTTCTGAAAAAGGGCTGGAAAAAGGAGGAGACGCTATACGCTGGGATGACCAGGCTATTGCGCTGGAACGATCCGTCAGAAGATGTTGAACAGTAGGTTAACCTCGGACGGTTCTGGGTCGTTAGCAGGGCGGAGGGGGAGTTTATCGGGTGAAAGGTCCATATCGTGGATCCTACTTCCTACTATATATTAAAAAATAGTGTGTGTATGTGTATGACACTTTGCCTGCCACTTCTGTCAGTTTGTTCCAGTAGTATCTCAAAAGGAAAAGGTTTATACGCCATGTATGCTACGTCATTAAGTGCGTAGTGGCTCCAAAATGACTGCACATATAACGAAAAAATTGTTGTTTTCGACAGTAAAATTAAGTTTTTCTTGAAAAATCGGGCATTCTCTTGGTTACGAAACAATAGCGTGCGTCGCTAGTGGCGATAATCAACTATAATAATTTTGTTGTGGTCTCTGTCCGTCCGTCCGTCCGTCCGTCCGTCTGAAGCCGAATTCAACTCGAAGGGGAAAAGAGCTAGAGCTTAGCTCTCTTCGGATTCGGATAGAGCGCCCTCAGAAACCCCCAAACTGATAAAAAAAATTATGAAAAAGTTTTAGTTTAAATTATTAAAATTAACTTTGAAAGTTTTTCCCTTAGTAAAAGGGGTGGGGGACGGAGGTTGGGGTGATTTTGGACATAGTGAGCCAGGTGGCGCGCGTTTCGTGGATGAAAATTTTCACGGGGGATTTCATTTCTTTTTTTCTCTCATTCCATCCGGTCGGTCGTTATTTTTGTTTTTTTTAAGGGGGATTTCGGCTAGGGGAGGTATCTAAAGCCATCAGGAAGGTATTTAGGTAGTTTTTGAAGGGGATTTCAGCCATGGGGGGTATCTGAAGCCATCAGGAAGGTATTTAGGTAGTTTTTGAAGGGATTTCAGCCATGGGGGTATCTGAAGCCATCAGGAAGGTATTTAGGTAGTTTTTGAAGGGGATTTCAGCCATGGGGGTATCTGAAGCCATCAGGAAGGTATTTAGGTAGTTTTTGAAGGGATTTCAGCCATGGGGTATCTGAAGCCATCAGGAAGGTATTTAGGTAGTTTTTTGAAGGGATTTCAGCCATGGGGGGTATCTGAAGCCATCAGGAAGGTATTTAGGTAGTTTTTGAAGGGAGTTTCAGCCATGGGAGGTATCTGAAGCCATCAGGAAGGTATTTAGGTAGTTTTTGAACGGGATTTCAGCCATGGGGGTATCTGAAGCCATCAGGAAGGTATTTAGGTAGTTTTTGAAGGGTTTCAGCCATGGGGGTATCTGAAGCCATCAGGAAGGTATTTAGGTAGTTTTTTGAAGGGGATTTCAGCCATGGGGGGTATCTGAAGCTATCAGGAAGGTATTTAGGTAGTTTTTGAAGGGGATTTCAGCCATGGGGGGTATCTGAAGCCATCAGAAGGTATTTAGGTAGTTTTTGAAGGGATTTCAGCCATGGGGGTATCTGAAGCCATCAGGAAGGTATTTAGGTAGTTTTGAAGGATTTCAGCCATGGGGGGTATCTGAAGCTATCAGGAAGGTATTTAGGTAGTTTTTGAAGGATTTCAGCCATGGGGGTATCTGAAGCCATCAGGAAGGTATTTAGGTAGTTTTGAAGGGATTTCAGCCATGGGGGTATCTGAAGCTATCAGGAAGGTATTTAGGTAGTTTTTGAAGGGGATTTCAGCCAGGAAGGTATTTAGGTAGTTTTTGAAGGGATTTCAGCCATGGGGGTATCTGAAGCCATCAGGAAGGTATTTAGGTAGTTTTTGAAGGGGATTTCAGCCATGGGGGGTATCTGAAGCCATCAGGAAGGTATTTAGGTAGTTTTTGAAGGGGATTTCAGCCATGGGGGGTATCTGAAGCCATCAGGAAGGTCTTTAGATAGTTTTTGAACGAGATTTCGGCTATCGGGGGTATTGATGGAGGTGGGAAAGGATGTGGTGGAGTGGGACATGTAAGGTAGCCCGAAGGCCAGATGGTTGCAGTCGCGAAGCGACTGTAACCATCTGGTTTATATAATAGCAAAGAGGGAGCGTTTTTCATTGTTTTTCATCGTTAAGGATTTCAAGGACTGACGGTGTTGGGTTTTCAGGTGGGGCCAGGGTTCTACACCGGCCCCATCTGCACTAAGGGTGTTGATTCTAGCACGAAACACTATCAACTATAATAATTTTGCTGTGGTGTCTGTGTGTGTGTGTGTCTGAAGCCGAATTCAACTCGAAGGGGAAAGGAGCTAGAGCTTAGGTCTCTTCGGATTCGGATAGAGCGTGGTCAGAAACCCCCAAACTGATTAAAAAATTATCAAAAAGTTTTAAGTTAAATTATTAAAATTAACTTTGAAAGTTTTTCCTTAGTAAAGGGGTGGGGGACGGAGGTTGGGGCGATTTTGGACATAGTGAGCCAGGTGGCGCGCGTTTCGTGGATGAAAATTTTCACGGGGGATTTCATTTCTTTTTTTCTCTCATTCCATCCGGTCGGTCGTTATTTTCGTTTTTTTAAAAGGATTTCGGCTAGGGGAGGTATCTTAAACCATCGGGAAGGTATTTAGGTAGTTTTTGAAGGGGATTTCAGCCATGGGGGTATCTGAAGCCATCAGGAAGGTATTTAGGTAGTTTTTGAAGGGGATTTCAGCCATGGGGGTATCTGAAGCCATCAGGAAGGTATTTAGGTAGTTTTTGAAGGGGATTTCAGTCATGGGGGGTATTGATGGAGGTGGGAAAGGATGTGGTGGTGTGGGACATGTAGGGTAGCCCGAAGGCCAGATGGTTGCAGTCGCGAAGCGACTGTAACCATCTGGTTATCTTAGAAAGTTACCAGGGTTGAAAAGCCGCGACGCGGCTTTTCAATGGCTCTGCCATACCCCCAGGGGGTATGCCCCCTATGGGGGTACTAAAGGGGTACGAGGTGGGGGTACAAAGGGGTAAAAGGTGGGGGGTTTTTGGATGTATATCAAAAAATTAGGCTACGGTTTACTTTACCCCCCCAGCCGGAAGTTTTTGGCTATAACTTTTTTATTTTACATTTATGTAGGCTCAAATTAAAACTCTTAGTATATTTTTCGACGCTCTATCGAATGGCGTTGCAAAAATCCCGACAAAATAAGCGAAAATACCGACAACTTTGAGACCCTTCGGCTGTGGGGGGTAAAGTAAACTCTTACCAAAAATTAGTCCCTCGATTAACTTTCAACGTTAAAAAATGTTTAGTTGAAAGTCCGTATTTGATTAACTGCCTTGGTGAAATTCCGGCTGGTTCAATAATCTGGTAGGTTGCTGGGGGGCATTGTACCCTCACGCCGTTCCCCCACCTCGTACCCCTTTTGTGCCCCCATCGGGGGTATGGCAGAGTATAATCATCCCTAATTAATGCTTAAGAGTCCACGTTTCCAAAATTTTCTCAGTAACCCACATTAAGTTTCGGAAATTTTTACGTGCACCTATCAATTTTGTGCAGATGTTGTTAAAAATCATGTTTAGTATCGAGCCCAACGCGACGCGAAACTACGGCCAGCGATGGGGCCCTCAAGCTATCAAAGGCGCGATTGAACGTCTTCGCGTCGACTTCGTCATCCGTGGTCACCAGGTACAGATGGGAAAACTATTCAGCCGTTCAGAAGGTTAGCTCCGCGGACTTGACCTTGTTTATGAGTTTTATGCTTGACCTTTTTTAGCATCCAGGTTTTCGGGCAGCTAATGTAACTATACTTGCTAGACAACCTCTAATAGACCCTGAAGCTGAGAGATAATTTTTCCTGATTCAAACTATACATCCCATTAATGCGCGCTCCGCCTTACTGTAAAGTGTTTTTACTCAATGGGACTTACGATTCGGGACCAAATGCATCTTGTGCAGAATTTTTTGCTGATTCCGAATCCGCTTTCAAAATTTACTTCGAAGATTTGCAAATGATACAGCTCATCAAGCGACAGAAACTATCCAACAATAATTGTTAGAAAGCTTTGTTAAATGAGATGTAGCCCAATCTTCAGCCCTAACTGCCTGGCAAACGTCCAAAACAAAAAGCCCCCAAGAAATTTCGGAACAAGCTATGGGGTTCATAAGCATCGTCTTCCAATTCTCCGTTTGTCGAAAATTTTGAGCTATAGGGCTTATTCGAAAAAATCTCTGAATATGCTGGCGACAGTTGCTTTTACAAATTCCAACCAAAATAATCGAATTCAAAGCTGGCCTATTTTAAAGACTGTCAGAACGATGGAACGCGCACTGTCACCCCGAGGGTGGCAAACCAAAAGGACACCTGAACCAAACGCAAATTGGAACCGTGCGTTGCCAAAAGCGTGCACTAATGTGCGGAGATTGTGCCCGGGGGCGGCAACGCGCAGCGCCTATCGTCTATCTGTGCACGGATCAAACTGATAAGCGCCGTTCCCTTCCAGAATTCTGACGGTCTTTAACTAAAGGAATATTTTCTATGTAGGTCTCGAGTCTTAAAGTACTGTAACAAGTTTCAAAAACGAGCTGATCGATAGCTGACGGTCGTTTCGATCCGCGTGCAAATTTTAGCCAGTTATGAGTCGGTGTCTATTCGAGGTTCCCTAGTTAGTTGGTTCCTGAAACTTCGTAAAACCGTCTGTCTTATTCAATAACCGGCACCTTTCACTATAGGCGATGACGAACGGCGTGCGCCGATTTGCCAACCTCCCGTTGGCCACCGTCTTCTCGTCGTCGTACTACCTAAACGAGGTAAGGCCATTTGAGACTTTTTGCATTTGCAAGGAGGAAGCAATTTGAGCAATTACTAAACATAAACGATCAAAAAATTAAAATTAAATTGTTTCGATCCAAAATCACGAAATTTTCGGCCTTTTCGAACTTTACTCTAACTACCAAGCATTTGTTTTGCTAGATCGTTTCTAACTAGTTTTCGCTGGAAATATGTAGACGTGGCCATAATTACGCTGCATGTACCTCGGACAAAAGAAAGCTACGCTTCATTTTAGGAGAATTTCGGCGCCGTTCTATTCGTCAATCCTGTGAAAAACGAGATCGTGCCGATCTTCATCGTGAGCCACAAGGACAGCATCGAGAGTGCGTAGGGATCCTATAGATATCGCGGAAACCCAACATGGTGCCCAGGAAAAAGCTGAAAAAAATTTGGGCCACAATAGCTCGCCAACCGCAGCGAATCGTGGCATCGTTACGATGCTGAATACTTAACTAGCTTGGGCATAAAGAACAAGCGATTCGATTTACGGTTTTGGACCGATTCTGACGGTTGATACGGCAGATCGATACTCCTTACCACTTAATTCAAACCCATTTCGAGCGCTTGATCCTGATACTCATCGCGTCCCTCTAACTCCTCAAAAGTAGAAACTAGTAAAAACTCCTCGTGGGCGCTTCTAATAGTAGAAAGCGAGCCAGGTTTCGGAAAATACGTTCAAAAAGGTGGCTCTATGGTTTTGACACACACTGTATCAATGTTGTTTCAGCGCAAGAGGAATTCGACGAGAAGCTGCGTGAGGGCTGGAAAGTCGATGATTATGCGGTCATCCCCGACGTGAGTCGTCTATTCGATATCCCGGACGTTTCTAAGATCTACCGACGCTTTGCTTTGCAGGACATCACGGTGAAGGGAGAAAAGAAGTAAACTCAGAAGAACGGACACCTATGAAACTCGGCGACACAACCGACGACACTGACTGATCCAAAAAGCTACACGCAAACACCGCCCATATCGCATCACCCTGTATTTTCTCTCATGACCAATGTCAATGATTTTTTTGGGATAAACGGTGAAAAAACGGTGCCCTGATTTTGGGCAGGCGACTGTCAAAGAGGAATACCTCTATCTAACACGGTGGTCTCACAAGGAGACACTTTTGGGTGACAAAATAGTTTCGCATTGGCACCGAGCCTATCTTGTGCAGAATGTTTTGCTAATTCCAAAGATGTCTTCAATTTTTGCCAAATACCCTAATTTAAAAGTTACAGCAATTTTACATCATTTTTGCCCAAATCTCCCATCTTAAGGCCCACTACTTTTATAGTATTCAGCAATTTTTGCTCTGTAAAATGAGGCCTTTAACTCAAAATTGATGAAAACTGAAAATATTGATGACCAGCGCCCAAAACCCGCTTCGCGGGCCTTGGGCGCTGGAATGGTGCGTTTGCATGAGAAATTTGACTTTCCGGTAGCCACCATACGCGCGCGTGCGACTCGCAAGAATGAGAAAATTTGTATTTTTTTCACATTATGCAAATTACTCCCAAAAATGAATAAAACCGGCTTTAAGTTTGTAAACTTGTATTTTATCGAAATTCTAAGAACACCATCGGAAACAGAAGAGTCGATTCCCCCAAGTGATGAAGAATTAGGACATTTTATGCACGAGAAGGCCCTCAAATCGGGCCTCAAAACTGACATCCACACACACACACAAAAGATACACGCCAAAATTATATAAGGTAGGATTTGGTATGGACTTCGATTTTTTATCGGGCGGTGAAAAATAACCTATTTCACACACCCTGAAGCGGTCGCCTAAAGCTCCTAACGCATTGGTAAAATTTACGACTCGAATCAGAATAAATTCTCCATCCAATATGCTACATAGAATAATTTGGAACATTAAAATATACGAAGAAGTCTAACCCGAATTTCGTGAAATAGTTTGAGGGCGAAGACAGGATCGATCTTGGAAGATCGAGTTCGATTTGCATCCCGAAAATCAAAACTTATTTGCATTGGAAACTTACGCTCGGCCTCAGAGGAAGCCATTTCATTCCACTCGACACTTCGGACAATTTCGGCCTCCTCGTCGATGAGACGTCGTCATCGGTTCCTGACGGACACGACGCGGATCGTCTACTCACTGATTATCGTCTACTTCAGCACCGGTCATGGCAATGCGTTAGTTTTTTGGATGCTTCCTATACTTCGAAAAGTTTACTACAACTAAACCCTCCCATTTGGATTATTTCAGTGATGGGAATATTCCGCCTTCGCTAAACGCCGCTCTTCACCACAACGACACTTCATCCACCCTCTTCGCCAGCACCCACCACCGTATCAGGCGCGAAGATACAGTTGGGACCCCTCACTCCCTTCAAACACTATTTCTTTAGTGTCCGGGCAACCGGCCTTTCGTTTGCTACGCCCACGATCATTTGGCTGCGCTGGGAGTCGAGATGCACGTCCAGCACTGGATGCAATCTGAATGCACCGCTTGCATCACCACGATCTGCGAAGAAAATGTCCAAACCGGCGGCAAAACAAGGCTGTTAGTCCGCGATCCTTGTCGACCAAATTTTTGCGTAAGTGCAACAAGTTTTAACAAGGGAGACTAATTTTTGTTTTTTTTTCTCCCATGGCACCGCTAACAATCAAGTACACCTATATTCACATTTCACGGGGTAAGAGTCTAGAAAACCCCCTCCCCCCAGTCGGCACCAACTTTTGTATCTCGGCCCCCCTTTGTGCTAGCGAGCTCTAAAGTATACCAAAATGTTCGCCGTAGGCTAATTAGTAAGACTACATTGCAGTTCAGTCGAAAAAGTAGAGAAAAATAAAAATAAGGAAGGTAGAAAAGTTGAAAAGTCGGCTGGGGGGGGGGTTTCCTAGACTTGAGCCTTTCACGATCCCGGCAGCCAGGGGCGTACACAACCCCAATTTTTGGGGGGGCAACTCGAAAATTTTCGACCTCCCCCGCCCCCTCGCCGCTTTTAAAACATTCGAAAATCGCTGCGATAACAGAGCCGCAGGCGAAAGAATTAGCGAATTAATTCATTCAAAAAACGTTGGGAACGCTTAATGCATGTGAAACCACCGCAGAAAAGGCGACACAGGCAAAAATTTATGGACAATTGATGCAGTAATGAAAAAACAGCGCCGCAGGCGAGGCGAAAATTTTTGGAAAAATAGGCTTGATAGAAGTAAAACTGTCTTAAGAAACAGCAATAAACAGCGCCGCGGGCAGAAAAATTTTTAGTCAAAAAATCATAGGGGTCCCCCTTATGAACTTTTCGGCCTTCGGCCGATTTGGGGGGGCAACTTACACCATAGCCATTTCTAGACGGCCGACTACAAGGAAGAATCCGGGGCACCAGATTGCATCCTGCCCGTAACGATCAACGATGGGAAAGGTATCACTCTTTTATCGATGATTCACCATCCGTTATAGATAGAGTCCTGTTCCCCTTCAATCTCTGTACCCGGGAAATGCTAGCATCGGGGATATGCGAAGGAAAGGCATGGTGGGGTCGTTCGGTCATTATTGAAGGTTATAAACCACTCAGGAGCACGAATCCATACGCGATAACCGGAATACCGTTAACCAACCAATACCTTGTGCAATGTGACGCCGGCTTCATAGTACCAGCGTAAGCATTTTGTTTGTTTCTGCGACCACTTGAGTCCTTAGCAGGCAGTTTTTGGAATATCTGCAGAGGATGTCTTTACAATGCGTTTTTATCCTGATTTAGAAACTAGAAAAAGTTTTGTTCAAAATATGCAAGACCTTTGACCAAAATCTCGAATTTCGGAAAGATTCGCCAAATAAGTGGTATGACGCCAAGATCTTTCTAGAATTGTCGTTGAAGCACATAATAAACATGGCGATGGGCCTGATGCACCGTCAATCACTTGTGTCCCGAGTCTCCACTTAGCCGCCGGATACGCTACTGAAGATCTTTCGTTATTCAGCAATTACCCATACGATGCAGTTAATCCACTGAGCATTGAGGTATTCAATGAATTCGGGTCAATAAATGCCAGTTGCAGTACTGCGGCAAGGGAGGGCGGCAGAAAGGCGACACGTGTCAGCCACTACCAATCTGCAAAAACGACGGTCGACCGCCGTAAGAAATTGCAACAAACGTCTCAGATGACATTTTCCAGATCTTCGCTGTTTGCGTCGAAGGCCGTTCTTCATGCAAAGGACTGTGACAAGCCATGTGAATATCAATTCGGCGCCGCCACATATGAGGACTGTGTCATTCTGGATATCTCGGATCCGGTTGGAATCATTCCCTTCTTCACAGCTCGACGCACATTGGTTGGTATTTGTATTTTAATTGTATTGGTTTGATTATGGCTCGTAAAAGCTGTTTGCCGTTTTCAGTCCGGCCCGTACGCCACTTTCATGGATGAAACGGAGAACTTGATGCTTGGTGCCGTAAAAATCAGTGAGGGGATCAACGGCCGCTCCGAACGCTCCGGAGACGTCGGAAACGACAACAGATAACCCCACAGAGGGAGGACCGGAAAATATAGCTTCTCTTCATCATAAGCCAGAGGTACTAATGATATTAATGTGCTCTTTTTTGTATACCATGCAACACATGGATTTCTTATTGGGATTGCTTGCAGGCAGGCTCACTGAAACATCTTTTCCAGATCCTGCCGTTCTCGTCGCAAAATGAGAAAAATGGTCGTGTTCGCCGCCAAGATGACATCCCCGAGAAGATTCAATACCCACGATGCATCAATGTGGCCGGATTGGCGGTAGCTTCACATAGTCTGCAGATGAAAATAGTGCCTTTTTTAGGGCGAGGATCTGAAGAGGGTCAAGGACGACCTGTTTCTGAACTGCGACACGAACATCTTTGTCCAGTTCCGAAACGGCAACACCAGCGGACTGGCCATCGACCCGCCACCATGCGAGGGAGCTAATGACACTGTAGGATGTTTTCTGATCGGGTGTGATGATCCCGTGTGGTTGAATACCTTTGAAAACCAATCATTGCAGAAAATCTGCACGCATCGCTATGGAGTCCCAACGGAAACAACCCACATCCCCGCGACCATCGCAGCTGCTGCTCTATCGACTGAGACGTTGATCGGAATTGGGGCTGGTCAGACATCTTTGCCTTCGTACTGTTGATACTTTTTGTTCAGGTGTCGGAGGCGTGGTGCTGCTGCTGCTCTGTGGGGTACTGTTGGGCTGCATGCTCAAAAAGTAACGGTTCATCCTTGTCTTCCAACCCGGGCGTTTAGGAAGAAGCCGAAGGAGAAGGATGTGGAAAAGGTAGCTGTGGAGTCACCTGCGACTCCAGTCGTTCCGGAACCGATCGTCGTCACACCTGCTCCCGCAGTTTCTCCGGCGATCGCAGCCGTTGTCGATACAACCCAGCCCTCTGCACCACCGCCTCTCGCCGCCGCCAAGCCTGCCGCTGTGGTGCCGCCGCCGATTCCAGAACCATCTCCAAAGGCCCGCGAACTGTCCCTGAAGACGGCACCATCGGAAATCGTCAACCTCGCCTGAGGGCCAATACAAGCTCATCACCACCAATATTGAAGGAGGGCACATGGCGCATTTGAAGAACATGGTAAGCCGGTTTTATGCCCAAAGCATATTAAAACACCTGCGTTGAAGAGCCGCTTCGCGGCTTTTCGCCCTCGTCCCGTCCGGGATTGCAATAGTAGCTGATTTGCATACAAAACGACTGACGGCCCTTCTCTCTGACCCCTGTATGCGGGCTAACAGTAATTCCGGTGTACGCTACAAGGTTTTTGGCTGCCTACCGGAATCGAAGAAAAGACGCAAAAATGCTAATGGCTAGTCTGGCTGGCCGTATCTTGCAGCAATCCGTAGCCGCCTAACAATATTTTATCATCTTTTCCAGACCGAAAAAGCTTGGAGCCTACATCCCGCAACGACCAGGCCGCTATGATTTGGCTACGCACGGCTACGCGCTGAGAATCGATCTCGAGAAACATGTGGGTTTCGGTTGGCAGTTAGTCGAGGAATGGCAACGGTATCAACAGTATATTATTGCTGAAAGTTTGGGAATGAAATTCAGGACAGTGCGTATCAAAAAGCCAGCAACACCCGGTGGCTGTAAATGCGAATGGTCAGATCGATAAAATTGTTCTGCAAATATGCCAATTTAAACGAAGAAGAAAAAGATTTCCATGACATTTTTATGCTGTTGTTTTCATCATAAAAGGTTTAAAATCCATCATAGAAAAATGTCGGCTAGAGAGAAAAAAGCGCTTTTTCAAGCGCTACATGATAATTTGATAGGTAAATGTGAAAGACGGCTGCGGGTAAATAAAGGTCATAGAACGGGTGGCTCGATATTTTTGAAAGGCACCGTATTTTGTTGTTTTCACCACAAAAAGCCAATATCCATCACAAAAAATTTCGAGGGTTATGAAAATTGGCATCTTAGGTTCTTTAGGATTCCCGGGGGGGGAAAGTATTCCCGGGGGGGGAAAACAAATTTTTTTCGGCGAAAGCCTAGATTTTTGTATAAATTGCGGATGCGTTTCTAAACTGTTTTTAACTATGCCTGTGCATAAAAACTACACACATTTTAACCAAAAAAATGTAAAAAATTAAAAATTAGGTCGAAAAATAGACCCAAAATGACCAAATTTTCGACTTTTTCAAACATTTTTCTAAATTTTTCTGAAAGTTATTCTGCTTTAAATATACTTGAAACTTACTAAAAACAATTCGAAAACACTTTATATTTGATTACTAGGTCAACCGGGAAAACCAGGAAAAAAATTGGTTTCCCCCCCCGGGAATACTTTCCCCCCCCGGGAATCCTAAAGAACCGCATCTTTTAAAAGCCTCAAGTCCGATTGCTGGGATCCCATTTACAGAAAGCCTGGAAAGCTAAGAACCCGCCGAAGCCCGAGATGGAAACATACCTAACCGTTACCGAAGCGCAACTGGACCCCAAGGATGTGGCGAAGAAAATTATCGCAAAGTTGGGCAGTCCAGACTACCTGTCGGCGGACAACAATAGGGTAAGTCTGTCACCGGCACATCGCCGTTTCTTCTGTATTATCCCTTTTTCCATAGCATCCAATTTTCCAAATCCGAAGTTCTTGCGGATTCGCGGGAGGGGCATTTTTCCTGACGGTTCCGGTTGGCCTAGTAATCCTATAAAAAGGTTTTTATATAGTTTTTAATCAGTTTTATATTGAAGTAGAAAAACTTTCCAAAAAAAGACTAGACAAGTGTTCGAAAAAATCGGAAATTTGGCCGTTTTGAGAAAAAAAAGACAATTTTTCGACCTAAAATTAAGTTCTTAATTACAATTTTTAAAGTTTTTATTCTTGCGAATAGCTAAAAACAAGGTAGAAGCCCAAGACCTATTCATAGAAAAATTTAGGCTTAAGCTGAAAACAGTTGTTGTTACGCCCACTGCCTAGTGGTAATAGTGGCGTCTTCTAACAGCGCGCCTTTCACCCCCCCGAAATCTTGGCTCCAAGCCGCACCGGATTCACGATACCGGATTACCCCGACAGCCGGGCACATTTCTGAAGATGCCAAGGTGTATACAAAACTTGCAGCCTATCTACAGCCCCAGCGCCGATGACGTTAAATGTTTATGCGAAAGTGTGAAGGATGTAGCGGAAAATGAGGAGGGAGTGGCGAAGCCACGCGGGCGGACGATTGTCGTCGGCGACCTCCATGGAAATGTAGGCAATGCCTAAGTCCTAGTAGGCATCCTTCTGTTTGTTTTAACGCTCAGGAGTCCTCGTTGAACAGGCCCCCCATTAAAAATACCCCCCTAAAATTAGCAGGGAAGGGTTGGATCGATAGCGCTTGAAACGGCAAGTTTTCCACAATCTTCAACACCATATTTTTATTAAAATCCGCCATTTCACAACGCATCTAAGCCGTCTAAAACATAGGAACGGCTATTCTCGGGGGTTTTACTTGATATTGAGGCCAAAACAGCTCATATGCAGCCCCAAAAAGCCCAAAATCTTACAAAATAGCATGTCAAAGATCGCGTTCAAATAAAAAAAACCTGGTTTTGAAGATTGTTGCAAACTCGCCGTTTCAAGGGCTTTTCAATGGTGTAACTATCATCCCGATCCGATATTCTGCGTCCAGTTAGATGGGGTGTTTTTCTGAGACACCCTGCACGTATTCCATTTTCAGTTCAACGACCTTTGGCGTATCATACATGCTTGGCTGTCGGATGTGGTTGGCGGAGGTCCCGGCCAAAAGTAGCTTTTAGATGGCTTCCATGGATGTCGTATTTTTCAGCATCATGTTCCTCGGAGACATCGTCGATCGTGGGCCCCGTCAAATTGAATGCCTGATCCTGATTATGGCGTATAAGGCTCTCTTCCCCTACCAGGTGTGTTTTTTTGGCTGCTTTCGCGGCACACAACCGCCCATGGGTTCGGTCCAGATGGTTCAAGGGAAAGGGCGTACTGTACGTGTTTTTCGCGCGTTGCGTGCGGGTGCGCGGAATAGCAACCGGTTTTTAGCTGCGCAGGCCTGCTTTCGCAATTGCGCGACGCGTCTATCGCACGCGTTGCGGTCTTCCCTCCTTTCCAAAGCTACCGGACGTTTTATTAGGAGCCGGGCCGCTGTGGGCATCGGGGCCCTTTTTCTTGCATTTTCTTGCATTTTTAGAATTGACTTGGACTGAAAAGCAAACAATAAAACAACAGCAATAGGGTTTTGAAGCCCGGGATATGACTTTGGAAAAGTTTCGTACGTGTCGTTTTTGTTTAAGTTTCGTATGTTTCGGTGTATGTGTGGGCTAGGCGGGGGGGGTGGGAAGAACATGGTTACCTTTTTCGGAATTCTCGATTTTAATGATACCATTCGATTCGTTTACGATTTCAAAAATATACTAGATGTTTTCAGTTGAGCTCAAAATAATGTAATAAATAACAAATTGGATGATAAAAACAAGTTGGGGAAGACGGTCCCTCGAACAGTCCCCATCATGGCCTGGCACAGTTTTTTCGGCCCCGTTTTTTGACGCCATGTGAAAGAGCATGGTCGAATCAGTAGGGCTGCATAGTTTTGCAGGTTTAAAAAAGTTTCTTTTTTGGGTTAAATGTCCGTGAAAGTTGCGTACCACGAAAGCCCTACTAATTCGAACATGCCCTTTCACATCGCGTACAAAAAAAAACGGAGCGCAAACCTGTGCCAAGCCTTGCTCGGATGACTCGCAAACGGTCTTTTAATCATGCGTCGGAGGTACACCCCCATGTTATCGCACAGCGCCTGACTGTACCGTATTTTTTAGGTGTGGATCGTCCGTGGTAATCACGAAGAGGCCAACATTTGCGGAAGTTTTCAAAACCAGCTGCTGGTCCGCGGGTACCGCGACGACAAGACTCCAAGCTCACGGACACGCAAATCGGACGATGATGAGCCAAAAGCAAAAGGCGTAGACGCAATCGATCTGCTTCTCGAACTCTTCGAAAGTCTGCCTGTGGTTGGGCAAATTGATGAACGCATTGTGTGCATGCACGGCATGTTAGGTGGGGCCTTCACATAAAACCCATGCACGGGAACAATCAATAGTTTATTTCTATATGGTTTTTTGTGGTTTTCGATTGCTGGGAAATTATCAATCTCCGGCAATTTCATTTTATGAGGGTTTTGGTATATTTCGGTCGGCGAAGTATAGTTTTTGGGTGCTAGTGCACTTGGGGGGGCGGAGTGGCAGTCCGGTACTTGACTAAAAGTCGCTCCAAATGCCGTTTTTAAACTCGAAGCCTCTGGAAAAACTAAGCTAAGCTAAGCCTAGGCCTAGGCTCAGGCTTAAAAAACGAAACCTAAGCCCACCCCAGTTGATTTATATAGGATCAAACACTAAATAACATTCACCTTTGTCTGAAATGTAGCCAGGGAAAGGCATTACAACCGCTCGCTGGGTGTCGCCTTCTTCTTGCGCGCTACTGCATGTTTTCCAGCAAACGAACTGAACAAAAAGCTTCTGCGAGACGGATATAAATTCCACGACACCTCTTACGACACCATGAACAGGCAACTGCGCTGGAACGATCCGTCAGAAAATGTTAAAAAAAGTAGGTTAACCCTGGCCAGGGTTGAAATAGCGCTTCGTTGCTTTTAACCTCACGCCCTCGGCCTATCTCACAAGTGACCAGCAAGAAGGGAAGGTGATATTTCGATAGGGACCAAGCCCATCTTGTGCAAAATTTTGAGCTGATCACGAATCTGTGTTCAAAATTTGCAAATAACACAGTTTCAAAAATTTATGCAGCTTTTCAGGGCTAAAAAACCAATTTCTTTCCCGGCGGCCCCGGTTGACCTAGTAATCAAATGTAAAGTGTTTTTACATTGTTTTTTAGTAAGTCTAGTGGTCTAGTCTACTTTCGACTAGTTTTTTTTTGTTTTTGTTAGCATCCTAAAGAAGCGGAACGGTCATACTTAAAAGCTACAGTGCATTTTATCAGAATTCCCGAAATTCGGTCCTTAGAGGCCCTTTAAAAGGCCATAGGATAATGGTTTGCAAAAGTTAACTAGTAGACCTAACAACATGTTCTCTCGAATAAGCTAGCTCACGAATGGCTTTCTCGGCATTGGCAAAGGGCGATAAATTTACTAAATACGCCCTGTACACATTGCGATTCCAGAAAAATTTTACGCGATTCCAAGAAGGAGATTTTAAAGCGCCTGCTAAAAGCAGATTTCGAGAAATTTTGCCTTTGAAAAATGCCTTGTAACTTCTTCGAATATGGCCACTCCGAAAAATTCAAAAATGTATGGTGAGCCAATGTTTAGCTGCTGTTTAAACCATATTTAGGTGTCAGGTCAACGGGGTACGCCACTACGGCCAGCTTTGGGGCCCAAAGGCCATCAGAGACGTCATGGAAGATCTTGGTGTTGAATTCATTCTCCGAGGGCACCAGGTACACGGCAAAGAAAAAGAATACCGCCTTTCAGCAGGCTAACTCCGTGGAGTCGTCCTTGTTTATCCCCTTAAAAAATCCGGCTGGGATGGCGCTGCAGCCGATTGAATTTAGTTTTTGGAAAAGACTTGCAGCTTTAACATGAAAACGCCAAAAATAAAGCAAAAAAAATTCTGGAATTGCCTTTACGAGAGCTTTCGTAAGATGTGAAAATTCTAAAAATCAGTCACGGCTGCGACCGGTTCAAGCGGGGGGAAAGGGGGCTGTGGGCTGTTTTTTGGGAGATCCTCCATACCTTGCTAACCAATCTGAATAATTACACTTACTTGTTACACTGAAGGAAATACGGTGAACGGCCCTCAAAATTTTTCCAGCATGTCTTTGTCTCAATTTAACACCAACTTTCGATAGGCGATGACGAACGGCGTGCGCAGATTTGCCAACCTTCCGCTGGCCACCGTCTTCTCATCGTCGTTCTACCAAGACGAGGTGAGGCTATTTGAGACTTTAAGCATTTTTAGGATGAGGTATTTTTTAGGACGTACTAACAATAGGCGATTTTATGCACACAAAACGACCAAATTTTTGGCTTTTTTTGGAAATCCTTTATAACCGACTCGACTCTAGTTGGTATGAACGCACTCAATTGCTTCTCATAAAAAATGAAGAAACCAACGCGTTTCCTAGAATCATTGCAATTTTATGTGCTTTGGATAACGCTAAAGCTACGCGTCCTTTCTGCAGAATTTCGGCGCCATCCTCTACGTCGATCCTGAGAAAAACGAGATCGTGCCGATCTTCATCGTCAACCACAACGATAAGATCGAGAGTGAGTAGGGAGCGCATCGGGTGGAAAACCATACATTTTGCTTTTTTCATCTTCGGATAGTCGGATCAAGTAATACGACGAAAAACCCTATGAGTGTTGTTTCAGCGCAAAAGGACTTTGACGAGGAGCTGCGTGAGGGCTGGAAAGTCGATGATTATGCGGTCATCCCGGAGGTGCGTCGTCCATTTTACCCCTACTTTTCGAAAACCCAAAGATTCTTTGCTTTTCAGGACATCACGATGAAGGGAATGAAGAAGTAAGCGCAGAAGAACGAAAATCCCCACGAAACTCGACGAAGCAACCGACCACACTGAATGATCGAAAAAAAGCTATATACAAACACCACCCATATCGCATCACCCTGTACTTTCTTTCATGACCAATGCCATTGATTTTTGGGATAAACGGTGAAAAAACTGCGCCTTGAGTTTGATACCGCATTTTGGGCAGGCGGTGCAAAAGAGATGTAGCCTACCTATCTCAACCTAACTCATGAAGTCACACCGAGAACACAGCCTCACAGCCCTTGTATTTTTGGGGTCCTCCGGTGGAACAAGCTCCCCATCCGATCTTTTGCCGACGTCGTCGGTGCTCTCGCCAAGTCGCACTCCTTTTCCCCTCGAAACCGCGCCCCTCTCCAGCCAGCCACGACGCCGATATCTCTGGAAATAGGGAGAGGATTTGCTCATACCTGGTTGGCGTTTTGAAACCATTTTTGTTGGATAGCCAACTACCACCGGAAAAACGACGCCGAAACGCGCGCTGACAGAAAATTGGGGATTCAAAAAGCTAATGCCAGCCGGGCAAGCGATGCTATAATAGACATACATAGAAAATCCCCGACATTTATTCCAATCGTTCCATACCATGCTTTGGCCACCCATCACTAATTCTAAAAACACTATTTCTAAAAGTCATTACTTCTAAAATTCTTACCAAGATTTGGGCATAAATATGGCCAAACGCGCCGAAAAACGGATGATCCTACGTACGAACTTTTGGAAGTAATGATTTTAGAAGTAACGATTTAAAAGTGATGATCCACGCTTTCATTCGGCTTCCCATCTTTCAAAAGCGAAAGTCAGACTAGCCTGAATATGGTGAAAAACTTGAAGGCGCAGACAGGACAAAGCCTTAACAAACAGTAATTTGCATCCGGAAATTTAGAAGGTATTTGCATCCGAAGCTCAGCTCGGCCTCAGAGAAATCCATTTTATTCCACTCGACACTCCCGACTGGCCTCGTCTACTTGACCCGTCGATGAGAAGTCGTCAGCGATTCCGGACGGACACGACGCTGATCGTCTACTCACTGATTATCGTCTTCTTCAGCAACAGCCACGACCATCCGTCAGTTTATTGGCTTATTTATAGACTTCCAAGAGTTCGCTGCTACTACCAGCTCCGATTACCATTCTTTCAGTGAGGCAAGTATTCGTCAGCCAACAAACCCCGCCTTCCACCACAACGATGCTTCATCTACCTTCTTCAGCGGCAGTCATCACCGGATTCGACGCGATGAGGTAATCAAACATGTTTGCAAGGCTATCTGATTTTGAATGGTTAATTTAGTGTGGTCCATATCGGCTGTTCATTTGTTATGCCTACGAACATCTGGCAGATGGTGGAACGGAAATGCCAGAATGGGTGAAGCTTCTGTGTCCTGCTTGTCAAGCCCCGATATGCAAAGAAGCTGACATTGGGAAGACACGAGACCAAAGGCTGATGGTGAACGATGCATGTCGACCAAACTTTTGTGTATGTGCAACGATATCCGAGAGCGTAGAATTTCCCCACCCCTGCTAACCGGAAACCAACGTAGCCATTTCTAGACGGCCGGATACAAGGTAGAATCCGGGGCTCCAGATTGCATCCTGCCTGTAACAATTAACGATGGAAAAGGTATCGCTCTTTAATTCGTCATTCTTAGAGATTTATAGATAAAATCCTGTTCCCATTCAATCTGTGCACCCGGGAAATGCTGGCATCTAGAGAATGTGAAGAGAAGACATGGTGGGTCCAGGTTCGGCTAAACTCCAGGATAGCCTCCTCCTCCTTCAGCCGACCCACCTACCGTATCTCGGCTCCCTGTTCATCTACAGGTGTGTAAAGCATACCAAAATACTCGCCAGAGCAAGACCACATTTTCCTATACTTTACACACCTGTAGATGAACAGGGAGCCGAGATACAAAAGTTGGGTGCCGGCTGGGGGGGGGGGGTTATCTGGAGTCTTACCCCAGGTTCTGCCTCGAATAAACCATATAGGAGCAACAAGTCATATGCCACATCGGGAGTTTCTTTAACCAACCAATACTTCGTGCAATGTGACGCCGGCTTCATTGTACCTTCGTAGGTATTTTGCTTGATTCTACGAACTAGCTATAGCTCTTGATGCCTTGCAAAAATAACTAGGAACCGTCAGCTTGACAAATGCCGTTACTTTCGCATTTAGGCAAGGGGCACATGCACTGGATTCCTTAAATTTTTTGGAATATCTGCAGAGCACAATTATTTCTGGAATTGTCTGTACAATGTTTTTTTTGGTTCTAGTGTATTCCCCGGGGAATTCGCGGGGGGACCGACTTTTTTCGGCCCCAGCCAAGATTTGTTACATAAATAGTGGAAGTGTTTCTAAATTGTTTATAGCTATTCCTAAACATAAAACTTTACAAAATTTAATTAAAAAATTTAATTTTAGGTCGAAAAATCAGTTTTTGGACCCAAAAATGACCAAATTTTCGACTTTTTCAAGCGTTTTGCTGACTTTTTAAAAAGTTTTTCCGATTCAAATAAGCTTAAATTTTGCTGAAAACAATGTGCAAAACACTTTATGAACATTGGTGTTTAGAGTGATCATCGAAGCGATTGCGAAATCAAAGTCGCAAGACAAACCGCCCGCAAGTACTTGCATCCCGAGTCTCCAGAAGGCAGCTGAATACGCAGTTGATGACCTTTCACCATTCACCAAATACCCTTACGATGTGCTCAACTTCAAGGACATTACGGTAACATGGTTTTCTCGCATGCGGTGCATGCGGCCAGGCACCTCAACACCGTAAAGTGGGAAACAGTTTTGAGTTGCGTTTTCAGTACTGCGCCAAAGGGGGACGACCTCAAGGCGGAGACTGTGCCCCACTACCAATCTGCGGCAAGAATGGCAAAAAACCGTATTAATGCAGAGTACTCGCCAACCGCATGTTTTTAGAATTTCTCAATTTCCGGATGAGTTTGCAACTGCACCGGACTGCGACACGCCTTGTGAATACAAATTCGGCGCCGCCACATACGAGAACTGTGTCATTCTGGATATCTCGAATCCGGGAGGAATTGTTCCCTACTTCACAGCCCGGCGCGCACTGGTCGGTTGTATTTAAAGGATCCTTTAAACGGGCGATCTATTTATTATTGCCGCCCCTAAAAACTGTTTTCCATTTTCAGTCCGGCCCGTACGCCACCTTCATGGATGAACCCGATAATTTGATGCTTGGTGCCGTGACCAGCATTGAGGGATCAACGGCGGCTCCGAACGTTCCGGAAACGTCGGACACGGCAACATATAACTCCACAAAAGGAAGACCTGACGCGGCATCCTTTCCTCAAAATGAAAAAGAGGTACGAGCTATGATGGTAGGAATAAGGCGTTTCTTTTTCATATGCCCTGTACAGGCCCGTAAGAAGAGGGTGGGGGAGGGGGGCGAGCCACCCCCCGAAATCGGCCGAAGGTCCAAAGTTCATAAGGGGGGACCCTGATGATTTTTGTTTTCCAATTTGGTTATTTTTAACACTAGTTACAGTGTTATAAACCCTATTTTTTTTCAAAAATTTTTAGGCGGTGCATGGCGCAGCATTTTTAGTCGTTCTTGCGGCTCTTCGCGTCTTTTGCAGATCCTGCCGTTCTCGCCGGAAAATGAAAAAAACGATCGTGTTCGTCGCCAAGATTACATCCCGGTGAAGATTCAATACCCACGGTGCATCAACGTGGCCGGATTGGCAGTAGCTTCACAAAATCTGACGATGAAAATAGTACCATTTTGGGGCGAGGATCTGCAAAGGGTCAATGGCGACCAGTTCCTGAACTGCGACACGAACATCTTTGTCCAGTTCCGAAACGGCAACACCAGCGGACTGGCCATCGACCCGCCGCCATGCGAGGGAGCCAATGACACTGTAGGATGTTTCTGAAGAGTTTTGATAATTCTTTGGTGTCGGACATTTATTCGGCCGGTTTAAGGGGGGGGGGCTCCCCTTTTTCTTTGAGGACACCCTGGCCCTTACTCTATTTTTTGTATGGCGTTCTGTGTTAACAAGTTCGTTTCAGTATTGGGTCTATATGCAAAACGGCGAACTCGCTCGGTACACTTTTACGATTCCGAAGGATAAAGGCCTGATTCGAAGCGCGGCTACCGTTAATAAGGCGGTCACCGTGGTTCACAACGAACTTCGGGGAGTGATTGTGGCTTGGGGGTAAGCGAGGGAAGCCAGTTTCGATTTGAGGATGGTTATTAAGACATGGCATTTTCTTCATGATTCCTGGAAAAGGCGTCGCCCCCATTCAAACGGTACTGCTCCACGGACCCACTAGAACTTGCCGGTCAGTTGTATTTTTTTTTGTCTTGAGGGTTCGAGTCTCAGGCATTGTAATGTTGTGGATCTGCTCTATGACCCCAAAGATCAAGTACTATCGTTGTTGCTTGGAAACGCGGCAGTTGTTACCTATAAATGCCTCCTGAAAAACGGTTAGACAGCGATTTCTTGAATATCATATCTGCTGTAGGAGATTTCGATTTCGTCCCGTTGCGATGGGTAAAAAATCCCTACCTTTATCATGCGGAAGCCTTCATTCCGGCCAGGGCTTTAGGAAATTTGGTATCCATTTTTTCTCCTGGGTTTTGTCAAATAATTTTTAGGTTTTTGGCTATGCACGAGGAATAAATCCATATCAAAGAAATGTAAGTTTTTTAGGGTAGACTAAGCAAAAAAACGATGGTTCCCACAAAGAGACGTCTTCGAGGATCCACAAAGTTTCGAAATGAGCTCGAGCCCGATTTTTTTGCTTATTCAAACGTAGTTTTCTGAATCTGCCAGCGATTACAATCCGAAAGTTACAAAGCTTTAAAGGGCGATCAACAGTCGAAATTGGGGATTTTTCACACTTAAAAGCTTTGTAACTTCTCAGATCGGTTCTTTTCGCAGGTTTCGGTCAGTTTCGGTCAGCAAAAAACTGCACACAAAATAGGCTTTATCCTATTTGAAGACTATGATTTTTATTTAATTAAATCTGTACCATTTGACACACAACAAACCGAAAACATACAATTTTCTGTTCCCATGGTCTGTGCAGCGATAAAATTTAGGCGATTTCTGTGGCCTTATACGATGCCAAAAATGAACGTTTGGTTTTTGCATCCGTCAAAGATTACCAGAAGACCTTCGACTTTCATCCAAGGTTTTTTGGAATGTGAGTATCCCTGCTGTTCGAGTGCCTTTAAGTCAATGCCTAAATCGCTAATTACGCATTGCTAGAGCATTATCGTTTTTCACTTTTTTTTCTCTTTTGGCGTTTTCGGCGCGAAAATTTTCGCTTTCAATTTGAATTCAAATGAAATGCAAAAATTTAGATCCATTGAAGCAACATCGCCCTTTAAGGGTTATGTCATAACTTGTTCTTACGGAGAAAGCAATCAAGCTACGGTATTATTTATTTCTATGACGAAAATAGCGCATTAGTCGATCTACCGCGAGTTTATACACTACTCCTGGCAACTGAAAGGTCCGATTATCCAACAGCACGTCCGAAAGATGGCGACTCATCATCTCGAGGCGCAGGGCCTTACCTTGGTGGGTGCCGGAAACGCATTTTAACGTTTGTTTTAGATTGCCGTACTGGGAAGCGCCGCCACGTTTTTGATCTACGACCCAAGCACAGGTATTTGTACGCACTTCTGGGATTCTATTTTTCACTTTAGAAACACTCGTCAACGCAAACGTCCATACATTCGCGATCGAGTATTATGATTGCGCTTTCCTGAAGGTTAGGATTCGATTTTTCACATCCGATTTTCCAGCCAATCGACGAGCCTACCAAAAAACGACCTTGGGTCGATTTGAAATTTATCTTGATCGGCAACGACGGTTTTGAAGTCTTGAATCTCCGGATTCAGGGCTGGAAATACCAAGCGACGCCGAGAGCCAGAGGTATTCTTTTCCAACACGGCCATCATTCAGTTATCATAGTAGAGACGTCCTTTTCGAAACACGAATGCTAGACGAGCGATAGATATTTTTGCCAAAACTTACCGACCTAATTAGCGCTAACAGACTGCTTTTTTCTCACTTAAATTATGCTTCTCGGTTTGCTCCGGGGTTTGTTGAAATTGACCAATTAACTGCGGCACTATAAAAAATTATGCCATCGTTAAAAATGCTATGTCATCCATTGGAATTTTAAGTGTCCTACTTCCCCACAATTTTCATCACCGAGCGGATCGATTGCCGAGACCTGTTTTCCTCAGGCAATTTCCATAACATGCAACTTTACGCCGCCAATATGGTAGTTTTGCCTCTCCTTCATCTGGTATCCGTTTACTAGTACGAGCGTGCGGAGCGCATTGTTTTCTGGGTTGAGAAAAGCCTTCAAGAGGAGCAGACAACTTATTATCAGGGGTAAGTCTTTTTTTCGTCAATGATTCCGTAAATTCTGGTCTCTGGAATTCAATAAATTCTTTTGCAAGCGGCCCATAGGCGAGGATTCATTAAAGTTAAGCGCATAACCGATATTTTTTTAGGGAACTGATCTTCCGGTGGGTAAACGAATCGATGGGTTTCCATAATGCCATGCGAAAGACGATTTTGACTGGCAATCACATGGACGAGAGGATGCAGGTATTTGTGACTTTGGCGATACGAGGCTTTTTCTTTGGCCAAACCCAGAAGGTTCTAACTATCTAACCATATAAAAAATAGCGTCTGTGTGTGCTTCTGTGTATATTTACGTGCCACTACCGTAAGTAAATATGTACCTCAGCCACAACCTCTGGAAAGCATATTAAGCTGCATATGATACGTCATTAGTAATGTAGGTGTGTAATGGCCTCAAGACGGCTACAGGCATATCAAATTGCGCAAATTATGCTATTGTCGACGTTAAAATTAAGCCTTTATTGAAAAATCGTGTACCCTCTCTGTTAGGAAATAATTAGCATACACCGGCGCCCCGGTCGGCTCGGCTATACAGGGTGTCACATAAAAAAAACAATCGGCATTTGGACCCCTTATATTAGCCGGGTTTGGTACTCTCTAAACTCTAAATTCTGCCAACTAAAGCGACATTTTAGTCTCAATTTTAGATATCCTACCTATCTGGTTTACCATTTGGTGGTCAGATAACGCAGGACGTGCGTGATAAGCACAACAAACTATCACAGGTATTGAATCAATTACTGACTTCCATTCTTTACAAGCTGCGTGCTTTTTCGCTGGACCCGTCTCTTCAGCTTCTAAGATTTACGGGTGCCGAATGGGTTGACCGACGCTACGAATTCTTTGGCGCAGACGTCACTGTAAGAAATCTTTCCCTCTTCTGATGAAAATTTGCAGATTACCGACGAGACGGATTATTTTATCATTACCATGACACATCCCCGGCGTGGGTTGCCGTGTCTCGCTGACGCCAAGAAGGGTTCGGGATTTTCAATGCTAGAGATGTGATGCCGCAAAAAAAAGATAGCTGGCTTAAAACAATGGGCTAGATTTCGCGAGCCGAAGAAGCGTCCGATTTTTACAATTTAGGCACCCAACGAATGCTCTTGGAAAGCCGAGAAAAAAGGCACTTGTCGTGTTTTAATTAGGGTTGTTTCTCGGAACAGGCCGAGATTCGGAACATTCGGAACAGCAACCGTTCCGACTGTTCCGAATGTCGGAACGTTCCGAGATTCGCGTGTTCCGGCTGTTCCGAGATTCGGAACATTCCGAGATTCAAATGTTGCGGTTGTTCCGAGATTCATAGTGTTCCGGCTGTTCCGAGATTCGGAACGTTCCGAGATTTGGCTGTTCCGACTATTCCGAGATTCGGAACAGTCCGAGAGTGAGCTGTTCCGAGATTCAAAGTTTTTCGCATGTAAATTTCCAAAACGACTGAATTTCGATTCGATTCGATCCCCAATTCGTTCTCATTTCCTTAATTTCCAGATTCAATATCTAACCATCGACGGAATTAAGTGTTCAGTTGCGCCCACACTGCCGTGTCACGGCAAAATCGAAACAGTTACGTGCAATCTACACAATTTACACGAAATCGAAATTTACATGCGAAAAAATTTGAATCTCGGAACAGCTCAATCTCGGATTGTTCCGAATCTCGGAACAGTCGGAACAGCCAAATCTCGGAACGTTCCGAATCTTGGAACAGCCGGAACACTATGAATCTCGGAACAACCGCAACATTTGAATCTCGGAATGTTCCGAATCTCGGAACAGCCGGAACACGCGAATCTCGGAACGTTCCGACCAGTCTTTGTTCCGAAAGTTCCGAATCTCGGTCTGTTCCGAGAAACAACCCTAGTTTTAATATAGGCATCTTAATTCATGAATTTCCGGCCAAAACCCACAAAGAATGTGGATTTTCGGCAAAATCCGCGTGGGAATTGCTTGTTAAAGCTCGCTGATTTGACGCCTTTTTTTAAAAACCGTTTAATATCGAGCGCGGGCTAAAAAATTTTGTAAAACGAAAGCGTTTGTTTTCTCGCCGATTCGAGGCCTTTGAAATGATATAAAAATCATCGCGATCCGAGCTTGCTACGGACCGCGAGAGGGGTTCCATTTTTTGGGACACCTGTATTTTAATCTTAAATAGTCCTAAATATCTTAAAAGACATGACGATTGCATCTTTTAAGTCAATGCCCATATTCTCTACCGACGACCGGATGAATACTGCTGGGTGTCGCTGAGGAACCCGAATGTTTTCAAACACTGCTTCGATGAGCGCCAAGCTTACCAGGACTTCCGAGCGCCTTTCCATGCGGATAAAAGGCCAATATTGCTGCATAAGAAGTTTGGCCTGGACAAAGTCATCGCGCTCATTGAGTAAGCGTTCGAATCGCTTTTCTAATTTTTATTTTTAGCAATCAGGGCATGGCTTATGGTGAGAACGGCCTGCACATCATGCGCATGTGTCCTTGCCTCGGCAAAAGACGTCAGGAATAATACTAATTTTTACTGCAAGATGTCCGATAAATTCGCTAGATCTCGTTGAGTCTTTTTTGTTTTAATCAGTTAAATAAAACTTTTAATTTTGCGGGACTAAGACAGACAATTCCATCCAATAAAGCGGTCGCATGGCTCGCAAAAATTTGGTCCTGATCGGATAGAAGACAGCGGCTCAATTCCCAGAGGTGTTTTTTTGGGATTAATTGGGATTTCAATTCCCTGTATATTTATTGGCCTTTTTCGTCACATTCGACTAGCCCATCCGCCCGCCTTTATCCCTCTTTTGCCAAGTGCGGGAACCAGGCCGCGGGCATCCAGCCGCCCCAACCCTCCTCCTCTTTGAGGTCATTTTTTGGATAGCGTCATCGAAAAAAGCGGTCCCTTGCAACATATACTACCGCTTTCGCAGCACATCGATGCTTTCAAAGTTTTTGCGACGTGTCTCTTTTCTTTTTTAACGAGCTTCTTTTTCGCAAGAATCGTGCCAAGGGCCTGAAAGTAAAAACTAAAATCCGTCTAATTTGTCAATGTAATTGAATATCTCCTGCAAAACTCTTAGCATTAGGTCTTTTATGGATTATAATTTATGATCATGTATTGTTTGCTATTCGCTCATGCATAATTTGCTATAAAAATGTGTGTAATTTGCCTGCTTATCATAAATTGCTTTATTTTGGGCTGTACAGAAAACTGTTTGTATACTTTTTTATGTTTTATCGACTTTATTTTTATGCCGAAAAACATCGAAAAATAGATTAAAAAAATGGCTACCAACCCCCTTTTTTTCCTTCCCCTCCGCGAATTTGTTCTTGTTTTCATGCTCGAACGGTTCAAAGCCTTTCAAGCAAAACGTTTCAGCAAAATGGATGTGCCCAAGTTTCCGCCGTGCCTATTGCCGAGGACGGCTGTTTGCCCATTTGCGTGTTGTGGAACGCCATATATAGCGTCAGGTAATCTGAATTTCCTACAAATACTTCATATAATTCTAGGCGTCGGTCATTTCGTCGAATTCCACAAAGCCGAAGTTGACAAAAGCCTGCCGCCGAACGTTTCTCGCCAAAACTTGGTGAAGGTTTTCGAATCAGGCGGCGAGATTACGCAAATAGTGTTGATCGGCTCACTAGCAGGTGGATTACAATTGTATGAAGCTTATTTTTATAAATTTAGAACCGAAGCTTCTCGTGGTGGCGCGTGGCTATCAATACGCGATTATAGAGAAGGTTGATCAGATTGTCGCGAGTTTTGGAAGGTAGAATACCCTAAAAATGGGTTCCGGTTGGTTAGCGGGGGGAGGGGACTTTTTATCAGTAGCGTCTCTTCTCTTAAATCAGATTATTTTGAGCTGTAGTTAAACTCTTAGTGTATATTTTTGATGCTCTATCCAATCCTGGTAACAGAATGTGGCAAAATGTCAAAAATCGCCAAAAATGGCTTACCCCATTTCCAGGGTATTTTTGCTTTTGATATCACTTGCTTAAATTTTCGTATTTTGATCTAGAATTAGCTTTCTTAGTATATTTTTTGATTCCCTGCCGGGTCGCGATGCTAACGTTCCCAAAAATATGGAAATATTGAAAATCCACGAAATTACCCCCCGCTAACGAACCAGTACCTGAAAATGATTCCACATTACAAATTTTCAGTGATGGCCACCATACGCCCTGCACGAAGGTGATCGACTGGGTTCCGGACAATATGAAGCCATACCACGACCTGCCTCTGAATGCTTGTTTGAAAGTGGATGGATGCCAGATTATAGTAAGGTTTTTTTTCTTTATGACGTTACTCCTTTCACTAGATACCCGGGCCGACGGTGTTTTTGATCAGCAATCTTTATGACGAAACGGCATCTTTGGTGGTCTCCCAAGCAATACCGGTTAAAAAGTAAGTGTGGGACCGCTTCAATTCCTCAAAAAACCGTTTTTCAAACCAGGATTGAAAAACCGCTTCGCGGATCTTTAACGTTGGCCCCGTCTTGGACCAAACAGGGTGTTCAGTTTTCAAGTACCCCCTGAATCCCCAGAAGAAAATACGAAAGTTTCGTCTTCTATGCGTTATGTAGGCTCCCGACACTTTCGGCGTTCGCTAATTGTCTCTTAAAGAAGATTATTTCCGATATCTATACAAAAACTTAATGTGAATAGCGAAACAGCTGTTTTTTTTAAATCTGCCAAGTGTTCACGCATCTCGGAACCATTACGCACCTAATAACGTACCATACGTACCCTGTTCCTCCTCCCTTGAGTTATTCCCGGACCCTATGGCGGAATTTACATGCAAATCCAGACTGATAGACAGACACTATTTTTTTATTTTGAGTAGGATAGTAGGAAAGGATTGTTTAGAAGCCACTCCCGAGTCAGCATCGCTTGCGAGTGGAAAGTCGATTACGCGTTTCACATTCAAGGCTCCGGGCAGATCACCTACGTATCTTCCTCCGAAGAGAAACCCCGCAATTTTCCCTGGCGGCCGGTTGGCTTGAACCTAAAGTTGGCAGTAGCTTTTTAGGCGAAAGCAGGGTCGATTCGAGGCTGGGATATGGTACTCTTCAAGAGTCAACTGTTGATGGCAACGACTGATAAACTGGTGTACGTCAATGTCAAGACCGGGAAGGCTAGTTTTGCTCCTTTTTTTGTGCATGCCTGGATGGGAATCTCGAAACTTCAAAAAGCATCCCGTTTTCAGATGTTTGAGACGCAAATCTACGATGCGGAAGGTGACGACAGGACTCCCGAATCGCCACTTGACGTACGCGACAGGGCTCGATGACAAGGACGAGCTGATTGCCCTATATTACGTGAGCGTGAATGGCAAGTTTTGGATGGTTCTTTTCTGAGTGACGCTTTGTAAGTAGTGGCAAATCGGCTGAGAAATGATTCCAAAAGCCTCACCAAATACAGTAGCGGACAAAAGTATTGGGATTTTTGTTTTTGACAAAATCCCAGAGCCTCAGTTCGAGGTGGGCTCAAAAGTTCCTCGCAGAATTCGAGCTGCTTTTTCTTATGCAGTTTGCCTAAACGAGCCACTCCATAGTACACAAAAATGAAGTAAACAGAAACCCAGCCGACAAACGTATTGGGAAGGGAAGCTTATTGTATATTCTTACTGAAGCCTAGAAAACGAGCCATCAACCTTGCAGAGCTAAAGAGGATGATTGAACGCTGATGATTTTCTGGAAATGTCGATTTTTGCTTTGAAAAACTAAAATCCATGAAAACTGCAGATGTTCGTAACATCAGAATGTTAATTGCTTTCTAAAGCAAACAGGGCGAGGCTGATTTTACTCGTTTTTTAGAAAACTTTGAATGTCGAGCGCCAGCTAAAGAACTTTGTACAACGAGAAGCGCTTGTTTTCTCGCTTTTGGGAATGCTATAAGGTGTAAAATCCTGCCTATTGGAGCTATCTCTAGAACACCCTGTATAGGGTTAGTGCGAGTTGCGTCTTGCCCGATCGAGCAGCTCAAGACGAGCATTGTTATGAAAAAGCATCTCGAATCTACTAGTGACTAACTTCTGAGCGCACCAAAACTCCCGGGAACTTGTCGAGAATAAAAATCCGAATACTTTCGTCCGCTACTTTAAGCCAAATTCGTTTTAAGATGTCCTTCTGCACTATGTCGTCGAGTCAGACACATTGGTACTAGCGAGAATGCTGACCCCTGGTGTAGGTCGCATACACTCGTGTGAGGCGCGGGCGGAACAGCTCAAGGTTTGACTAACTTTCTGCGAAAAAGTATCCGATTCAGCCCATTGGCGGAACTTATGGAGGGTTGGCGGTAATTAAAAGGAACAAGCATCTGCCCCATAAAATGTTTGAGTACGAGCTGGTGAACCCGGAAAAGCATGATTGCGTGAGTATTTATTTTTCTATAAAGAGAATATCTCCTTTTAGCCGCGGATCGCCGGCATCCCGGGTATTCATCCGTTTGCTAGGTAAGCCTTAAAATTTTCCAGGTGTGATTCTTACAAGGATACATTTTTAATGGCAATCGAGTACCCTTATCTGGCCAAATACCAAACCTATCTTGGGCACAATTTTGCGATTATTCCGAACCGGCTTTCGAGGCTGCAAAACGATTAGATTTAAAAATTATGAAGCTTTTTATGGCGAAAAAGGCAAAATTTGAACGAAATTTTCACTGGACCCCCAGTCCAGCGGTCCTAAAATTTTTGGATGATCTAGCCATTTTGTCGGTATTTTCGCCCCGCCATTCGATCGAGCATAAAAGCAATATATACTGAGAGTTTTACGTGCAGCTCGAAATAGTGCCAAATGAAAAGTTATAGCGAAAAATATTTGGGAAACTCGGGATGGGGAAGGAAGGTAAAGTAATGTTTTACCGAAATTCGCTCCTTCGGGTTTTTTTCGCACTTAAAGCCTTCAGAACTTTTTGAATCTGATCGTTTGCGGATTTCCCAAAACTGATCTGGGATCAGCGGAAAATTCTACACAAAGTAAGCTTTCTTAGAATATCAGATTGCCACTAAAAAAGCCTCCTTGTTAACATTGATTTTGTTTTGATGTTTTCGGGACAACAAGGTCAATTTTTTATTTTAGCTACGTCCAGGGCCTCGACCGATTCGTTACTGCGGCGAGTCCGCATAAGCCTAAGACGGTGGATCGAGTCCTCGACTACAACCCGATTCAACGCAGCTCATTGATGTTGCTGCACACTGGGAAAATCCAGATCAGTGCAGCCATCCCCAAAGTGGCTCTGAATAACTCGATACGTTAGTCATAGTTTTCTCGGATTCTAGAGAAGTGAATTTTTAGCGAACAGCCTAGAGCGCATCAAGGAGGCGTGCGTCGACTACGAGCCAGGCTGGACGTACAGCATCCCCGCTGTGCATTACTTTAACAGGGCAGAGCCAAAGTGAGTTTATGGACTGTTTGTGTAGTACTTCCGTTGATAGACTCGAGGCTCTCATCGAGTTTCCATGCATCATCGCCCGGCGACTTATGGGCGAAAAATTTTGCTTCAAGGTATGTGATACAGGGAGTCCCAATAAAAAAACACAGCCTCTAAGTTGACGCAAGAGTATCGGATCGGAACGATAGTTACACCATTCGAAAGCCCTTAAGATGGCGAGTTAGGGGCAAAAACCTTCCATAATCATGTGATTTTATAGCAAATTGAGAACCCGCTGGAATCGACCCTCCGCACCTAACTCAACGGCTAGCTTCCGAGTAAACCCTGAACCCCCCCAGCCGGAAGTTTTTGGCTATAACTTTTTTATTGTACATTATTGTAGGCTCAAATCAAGCACTTAGTATATTTTTCGACACTCTATCGAATGGCGTTGCAAAAATCCCGACAAAATAGGCAAAAAATACGGAAAACTTTGAGACCCTTCGGCTGTGGGGGCAAAGTAGCCTACGGCTTGCATGCAACCCACTAAACAAAAGAAAATTTTACAAAATGGCTTTTAAAACGGCGCAATTAATGAAAAACATCTATTTGCATCATATTGCAAACTAGCCATTTCAAGGGCTTCCGAATGGTGTAACTATTAGTTGGTCCGATTCTTCTCCGTCGAGTTAGAGGGAATATTTTTCTTGAGACCCCCTGTTTGTTTTCAAAAAATTACAATTTCTCGGTTTAGAACTGGGCATATGGAGCTGGGGATCGAATCGTCACGTCAAAGTTTGCGCTCATGAAAGAGAATGGCGTGATTCGAAGTGCCTCGACGATCACCAAAGGAATTTTTTTGGTGGCTCATAGAGCACAATGCTTGATTATGGCCTGGGGGTGAGGAAATGCAACTATTTTCGTAACGGAATGCAGACATGGCTGCATCTACATGAATCCCGGAAAGGCACCCGACTCGCTGGACACCATCGACCTGCAGGGACCTCCAAGACCTTGCCGGTACTTTCAAACAAGCCGTCGCAAAAAAATCACCCCCTGTAGCGGTTGGGAGAAAGCTCGAATTGGGATGGCCGGTACACCAGTCGAAAGTTCTTGGAAAAGCGAGAAAATAAGCAGTTGTTCCCAAATTATCGAGCATTTTTCTTCATCCTAAGCGTTTTGATAAAAACACGTGTTTTTCTGCGCCAATATTGCAATTAACCAGCAGAGCTCGCATAAATTGCCTCAACTCACGGTTTTTATTCAAAAAAATTTAGCATGAAATTACCTAATCCTGAAAACGAAAAGTGTTGGATTGTTCGCATTTTCGAGAGCTGGCGATAGGTACTAAAATCGTAAAAATCGGACTCGACTGAAGGGCGCTAGAGGGTGCTGCCTTATTCTTGCAAAATTCTCGATTTTCAGACATTCCAACGTGGTCGACCTGCTCTATGACCCTAAAGACCAGGTGTTATCATTGTTGCTCGGAAATGCGACGGTTGTTACTATAAATGTGGCGTCAAAGCCGGTTAGTTTCATTGTTTGAGGATCATCCTCTGTTTCTTCAGATGAATTCCAGTTTGTCCCGTTGCGATGGATCAAAACCCCGTACTTGCAACGCGCCGAGGCTTTTATACCAGCCGGGATTTTTGGATATCTGGTAGAGACAAGTTTTTTGAGACAAAGGGGTTTTTAGGTGTTTGGATATGGCCGTGGTCTCAATCCGTATCAACGAAATGTAAGAGTTTTCATATTGAAAATTGGCCATGATTCAGGCTCTCTCCCTCACACTATACGACCCGAAAAATGATCGCCTTGTTTTCGCGTCTGTGAAGGATTACCAGAAGACTTTTGACTTTAAGCAACGGTGCTTTGGAATGTGGGTTTCAATTAGCCCCGGTTTGTCATGTCAACAAAAAATTTAGACTGATCGAGGCGACATCGGCTGCAAAGGGTTTTGCCGTAACATCCTTCTACGGGGAGAATGAAGAATTTAAGGTAAAAAACGCTTCGAAACAGTAAACTGTAACTTTACTTACCCCTGGCCAGAATTTTTCGGCTATGACTTTTTTATTTTACATTATTGTGGACTCAAATTAAAACTCTTAGTATGTTTTCCGACGCTGTATCGAATGGCGTTGCAAAACCCGACAAAATAAGCGAAAATACCGAAAACTTGAGGCCCATCGGCTGTGGAGGGGTAAAGTGGTCTTACCCAAATTCCTTGTTTAGTCCAGCTACATCGAATTTATCCATGACGCGCCCCCACTCAAACGTCCGATGATACGGCAGGATGTCCGCAAGATGGTGACGCACCAACTCGAAGCGCAAGGTCTTACATTGGTGCGTGACCTGGGAAAAATTTTAAATTTTATTAAGATTGCCGCATTAGGAAGCGTCGTCACGATCTTAATCTACGACCCAAGTACAGGTAGTTGTCGCAAATACTGATCGGATTCGGAGCGAAATTGATTAGCAAGCGACCCAAAGCAAGCTACGAGCGTTTTTAGAAACCCTGGTCAACGCAAGTGACCACACGTTTGCGATCGAATACTACGACTGTGTGTTTCTGACGGTATTCAGTGTTTTGTTGCCTTGTTGAGAATCAGCTTTTCTAGCCAACCGAAGCCCCAACCAAGAAGAAGCCCTGGATACAAATGGAGCTCGTGCTAATCGGCAGTGAAGGCTTCGAAATCCTGCATCTACGAATCCAAGGCTGGAAGTATCAAGTCACTCCGGGAGCTAAAGGTATTTTTGGGACCATTTAAAGCGGCTCCGAAATCGGGTCCACGCCCCGCGCGTTGATTACTGGAAAATAGGCGGCCGCAACGCGACCGCTTCGCGTGATCTTTTGCCCCTGTGTGGACGTGAAACGCTTGAAGTTAAAAATTCTGAAGCTATTTCTGTAATTGAATGTAATGTAATCTGTAATAGTAAAATTAAATGCGCCTGTTGCCTTGCCGCCTCGAGGGCTTGAATTTTGATCATTCTAGACTTTTTAATTATGAAAATTTATCAGAGAATCACCGGGATTGAGAGATTACGACATGTAATCGCCGCGCGGTTAAAAAAGTCGTTTTCGGGCCGAGAACATTTCGATTATACTCAAATATTTTACGTTTTTCTGCAACGAAATGAATTTTCTGGTACTCCTCGGCAGTGACCCTTTCGTTTTTGACCCTTGATCAATCCCCCGCTCACGAATTCTGACTGCCGAGCCCCTTTAAGACCTTCCCATTTTAGTTTCCTACTTCCCTTCCGTTTTCGTAACAATGCGGGTCGTTTATCGTGATCTGTTCTTCTCGGACAACTTCCATAATATGCAGCTCGCCACCGGGGATATGGTATTTTCTCCGTAGAAAATAAATAAAATCGGATGCTAGCACGGTCGGCGGCACCGGTACGTTTTCTGGGTTGAGAAGAGCTTCGCGAACGACCAGACGATCTACTATCAAGGGTACATTTATGATGCTCGGTATTTAGGGCCTTTTTAGTGCGCTCAACTTTGTGTGGCAAGACGGGGATCTGACGTACTCAAAGCGCATGGAAAAAGCCGTATTGTCCGGCAACCATATGGAGGCAAGAACTCAGGTAACTTCTTTCGCTGGCCTTATTTCTTTACTGACGGGCGCAAAGATTCGTATAATCTTGAAAAGGCGAGTCCAGGTTTTAGAGATATTTTCAAATTCGCAATTTTAGATCTCCTTTATCTATGGTTCCCGGACCCGCGGAGAGATTGTTCAAAACGTGCATGCACCAGGGTGCGAACACCTATCGCAGGTATCCCATTTTTTTTGGCTATCGAACTTTGGCTTTTCAGCGCCGTATTTTCTGGTGGATCGAGAGCTCCCACGCGCCGGTTGTTGAAGATTCCTGTTGGATCGATAGACGCTACCAGTTTTCCGGAATCGAGACCACAGTAGGCAACCCTTCATAAAAAATTTATGTCATCTTACTTTAAGGTGACTGATGACGAGGACAGTTTTACCGTTGCCCTGCTGCATCAAGGCGGATTGCTGCCGTGCAAAGCCGAGGCAAAGAAAGGTTACTTCTATGGATTTTTATTAACAAGCTTGTTGTTTTTAGTAACTGCCCATTTCCTCTACCGGCGCTACCGTGAATACTGTTGGGTGTCGTTGAGAAACCCGAGCGTTTTTACGCGTTGCCGTGAGGAAAGCCCTCAATTCCAGGAATTCGAGGCCGCCAGCCATTCCGATGACGGGCTTATAGACTTACATGAACAGTGGGATGTAAACGAAGTCATTCCGATTTTCGAGTAAGGCCAACGCATTTTACAGACCCTTTAATTTAGTGGCCACGGTCTTGCTTATGGTTCTGATGCCTTGCACATCATGCGAATGTGTCCCTGTTTCAGTCGGCGGCAAATAAACTAAGAATTTTTTGTGTATTTTAAGACTCTACCTCATTGTTTCTTGTTCTGCTTCCGCAACATTCTGTTGTTCTTGCTTTTTTGATTGACTTTCTCTCTCTCTCTCTCTCTCTCTCTCTCTCGTTATCCCCAATCCATGACTGTGATTGAAATAAAAAGAGAGTACGGTAAAATAATTATGACTTGGGCCCCCCAGCCGAAAGGTCCCAAAAATCTTATTAGGGCCCCCTGGCCGGGTTTGCGCAAAAATCAAAATAAAAATTTATACAATTAAAATAGTGTTTAAACGGTTATTCGAATTTTGCTTGCTTTGGCTGTAACTATTTTATATTACATTATTTTAGGTTGTAATTCAAACTCTTAGTATATTTTTTGACGCTGTATCGAGTAGCGTTAAAGAAATTTTGTAAAAATGTCGAAAACTCGCTTTACTCCTCCTGTTCCTATAGGGAAATCGCGTTTAAATCTTGTGTTTGGTGTAACTATTTTATATTACTTTATTTTGGGCTGAAATTAAAACCCTTACTATATTTTTGATGCTCTACCGAATGGCGTCGAAAAAATCCCGAAAAAATAACGAAAATATGCAAAACTTTGCGATCCTCGGGCTGGGGGGGGTAAAGTAAACCGTAGCCATTACTTATTTTCGGGTTTGAGACTGCTACGTTCGAGATAGCGGAAGTGGCTACGTCAACAATGATCTTTAGGCGCGATGGAAAGTACGGATTCGGAGGCCAATTATGGCCCAAAAATAAGCCGGCATAAACCGGGGGCCGCTTTTTGAAAGCCGGTTGCCATGCAAACAATCGCTGGGCTCCAACATTCACACCTTCGCAGCGTTGCTATCAACATATTAATTTTTAACGGCCGGCGTCTAATTTTTTTATTGTTTTTACTTTATTACCGCAGCCATAGATGGAGCGCTGGTTCCCGCCATGTCTCCTACCGCGAACGGCTCTCGTATCTATCGAAATCCAAGGAGAGCTGTACTTTGTGTCTGGTACATAAAAAGGCACATTATTGATAGCTAACGAGCGTAGGGATCGGCCACTACCTCGAGTTTCTGAAGGCAAAGGATGCCGAGAAATTGCCCCCTTTCGCCTCGCAACAACGACTCTATCGCGTTTTCTCGCACGGAGAGGAGATCGTACATATCACCTTGCTGAAAAACCCGCCCATTGGAAATTGTGAAATTTCTTTCGATAATTGTAACTGGATTTAGCCCCACTTCTATTCATTTATACAAGGTGCCTAAAATACGTGATTTTACACGAGCTACCCGCCTATCTGAAGATTATTGAAAGGTAGAATAACATAGCCATTTTAATTCATGAATTTTGGGAGCAAAATCCATGAAAACTGCAAATTTGTTGCAAAAACCGCATGTCAATTGCTTGCTAATGCTAACTAGACGACGCTATTTTGCGCTTATTTAAGTGTACAAGTTCAAAAAAATTGTTGTAAAATTAAATGCGCCTGTTGTCTTGCCGCCTCGAAGGCTTTCGAATGGCGCAAAAATCTCTATGGATGCGGAATTTTTCCGGACCGCTCGAGGGGCGTCCATTTTTTTCAGACACCTATATACAGAAGCCACAGAAATCTTTAGCGCCCCATACGGCAAAAAGGTACCTCACTTTCCTTGCGGGGAAGTGCGAGACATGGCAAAGATGAACAAGAAGATTGATCTCAAGAGCTTCAACTTCCCGTTGAATCGTAAATTCACGTTTGCCATTTCGCGCACGACGACGGAAATCATTGTAGGGTTGCGGCGCCCAATAACTTGCTTTAGCTTCACGGACCGATCATATTGAAAGTGACAAACGCCTGTGATGAGGGCCGTGAACAGTTGAGCGTCGTGGCTTCACCTGCGCTTCGCTCCAAAGAGTATCTTACAGAAATGTAGTTCATTAACCGGCGTTTCTAGAAACGTTGGCCGTTCCATCGCGCACACCTTCAGTTCTGCGCATGGGCGTATGTATGTGTATTATATTGAATTCTCGAATGAGGTCGTCTATATGAAAGATGAGAAGAGGATTGGCGGCCGTTTCAAGTGGATCCAGGTGAGATGCTTTCTAAAAACACTTAAAATTTGCCGCTTCGCCGCTTTTCAACCCTAGTCCTGCGTTAGGACCCATGATAGTCGTCACTTTGCATGGTTTTTCCTGAATCAACATAAGAAAAATCTGAAAAATGTACGCTGCGGCGCTTTTATATAGACTTTTGCCACTTCCGGCACATGCAAGTCTCTTTTTAACAAAGAGGTTTTCGGTATTCTTACCAAAACTTAATTTGAATAGCCAAAACAGCCGATTACTATAAATCCGATGTGCGTGCATTACGTACCATTACGCACCTAATGACGTATCATATTTAAAGGCCTTCCCCTCAGCTCTAGGTGCGGGACATGCCTACGGAAGCTGTATGCAAATTTACACACAAGTACACAAAACACTATTTTTTGCATAGAGTAAAATAAGGTATTTCAGCCAAAAGACGAGACAATTGATGGCTGGGATATTCGTATCTATGAAGGGCACATCTTCATTGCTACCAATTCGAAGCTTGTCTATATTAATGGTACGTCCGGGAAGGTCAGCGATCACCCATTCGAAGACTCTCAAATAGTTTTCAGATCAGTGAAGCAAGGATCTGCGATTATCTCCCAGATGGCGAAATTCCAAATCGCCATCTGCGACTTGGCGTGGCGATGGTGGGCGATCAGCTCGTTTACGATATCTATGTTTCGGTTAATGGTAGGGCCAACTCGATTCATGAATATATGTAATAACGGTATTTAGATGTTTTTCTATACTTCAAAGTTGTTGATGACGCGATCACCTTTATGCTATTTTTAAACCCAGGTGTCGGCCGCGTCACTTGCTGGGATAGCGCCACAAATCCTTGGATGGTATACTAGGAAGCCAGAGGCTTTTTCAGCTCTCTTTTAGACCATTGGCGGTGTAAATGGAGGCCTTACTCAAATCGACTTGATGGAAATGTACCGTGAAAAGCCGGTGGCCTATGAAGAAGTCAAACCGTGGCCGCAGACCATCGGAAAGGTTCATACCACCCGTCATTAGAGCGTGAAAGCTCCTGATATGCGTTCTTTAAGTGC